TGATCGGCGGTGCAATTCGTGACCGCCCGGTCATCGTGCACAAAACCGAGCCGATGGCTGGGCGGTCATGGAATCGCACACCACCGCCGATTGCGCTGGCAGTGCCATTATTTTCTAAAGGCACCCCATTCGCGCCAGGCAGATTGCGCGGTTTCCCGCCGCAATACCGCCTGGGCGGTCCCACGCGATCGCAGTTGAAAACATGAATAGGTTAGATGTTTTATTGTTCTAAAACAGTCTTAAATTAAAGTTCTTCATAATCATAAACAAATTGGCCTAAAATCATTAGTCTATTGTTCTTAAAAAAAAATTCACCTGTCCCTTTCAGAAAAAGTATCGGTAATTGGTATTGGCAAGTACATGAGGGGAAGTACTTGTACTTGGTCTTAAAAAAGGGGTATCGGGACATCCCTAGTAAATATGTAACATATTTACTAGGGATGCACCAAAATTTCAGCCACCAAAACTGGTGCTATGCGCAAAATGCTGGTGCTTTACTAGCCTCTCTCCTGCAAGCTATAGTCTGTGTTCCCTCCAATCCAGTTTTTAGGTTTCGACCTGACAAATTGTTTAAACTTCTTTTTTTCAGTCTAAAAATATAATTTTGGTGTAAACATTTACTTCCCCAACAGTTATGAATGAACAAGTGTTCAGTACAGATCACTTCCTGTCTATTCATAACCGGGAAGACAATAAACATATCATCTTCACAGTTTGTGAATGGACAGGAACCCCAAGTACTGAGCGCTTCCTGTTCAGTAAGCAATGGGGCTGCAGAGAAGGCGATTAATGACTATGCGTCCGCAATCTCTTTCTCGGTCTTAAAAGGTAAATATCAGGCGTCTGTATTTTTATATTTCCCCAAACCCCCACTGAGAGTAATGTAAAACTTTATTTCTTTTTGTAAAGAGTTAAAGTGAAGTAGTGATGACAAGAATTGTGAGATTGCCATGGCTGACTGGTTTAAAAAAATGGATGTTCCCAGCTTGTACACTACAGGCTTCACTACCTTGAGTTATGTGCAAAATGCATTTTCCACATTTCACAAACTAAATTTGGATAAAGATCTAATTCCAACCACTGGAATGTAATCAGAAAAATGGTGCTATAAGGAAAGATAATCTTACCTCCTCAGAATAGTGATCAGATGGCAAAGGGGGATAGTCACACTGTTCTATCTTCTTACACAAGGAGTACAGGTTCATCTTATCGCCATAAAATGGGCTTTGTAATGCCGCCATCTGGAAATAAAGAAATATTCTGCTTCAGGTAATTTAGTTTAATTTACAGATATTTATGTTTAAGCAGGTCAGATGATATAACAGCACAACAGCAAAAAAAAATTGAAATAATAGCACAGAAAATTAAATGAAAGCAAAGCCAACTGCTATCTTTAGGTCAACTACAGTAAGCTGCTGCAAAAATAAACTCCCTTAGAGTGCTAAAATATTTACATGTCAGCCAGGCACCCTGATCTCCTCCCTTCATTTCTTTTTGTGTAGCCTCTGTGTGATGCAGTGGCATGGACTGACTCACTGAACAGCCTATCAGTGCCTCATATAGAGCAGAAGTGGAAATGAAACCAATGTCTGGGGCACCTGGCAATATATAAATGTAGTGGCAGATATTTTGTTGCTTTGACTTTTTTTTGTAATGGGGTAGCAGCAGGGAACAGTGGCCCTAAAGTCAACTTTACATGTGAAACATCACACTTTTTTTTGTTATTATTTTACAAAGTTGGGCATTAAATTAGCATTTTATTGAAGTCTGTAATCCCGTTGGAGAGATTTTCCCTAACTTTCCGATGACTCACTAGTATAGGAAATAAAGGTATTTTTCTGCAAAAAAAGTGACACTGCTGGCAATACAAAATATTTTTTTTCAAAGCATAGGGAAGTTACCGTCAGGTGTTTATTGTTGCCTTTATGCATGTTGTGTTGGTATGCAGCCATGGAACAATGAGGCTGATTAACTAAAGGAATAGAGAATCTTCACTCAATAACCTGAGTGAATATTCACTTGATCTAATCGTATGAAAAGCAAATTCCAGTTCACTTCGAATACCCAATCATGAGCAGAAGAAATAGGTAAACAGGAATTTGTTTTACACATGATTGGATAACTGAAGTGATAGTTTAAACAATTTATTGACTGATGATTCTTAACTCCTTTAGTATAAGAGTCTCAGGACAGGAAGCAAGGGAATATTTCCCAATTGGCAACAGAGGCCGCAAAGAAGGTTCCACTTCATTAACAGGACAGTTTTGATAAGCTTTAAGCATGGCCACATCTAAAAGATCTGTATGTATAATAATATTAAATAACAATAACAAATATAATAAAGAATTAAAATAATTATATTACAAAAAATAATACTCCAAAAAAGTGCCAGAGCTATAATTCTGTGCATCAGGAGGAATGATTATGACTGGTAAACACCTTAATTTGTGGAGACATCAAATGTTAAAATAGTGATATCATCTCCTTACTGCCAGAGAGGTTTTGAAGTAAATAACCTGCAAATTTGGTTGCCCATGTGTCTAGAGATTTGAAGAAGCTCAAATTCTATATAGCACAACATAATATTACACATACAGTAAATGCTTTAAAGAGATCAATGTAGAGATGTCAGTGACACGAACGCTACTTTTTCAATTAACTCAAACAGGTATGGGTAATAAGCTGCAGTCCCTAAGCCTGTTCCAAAAACATCTGGGTACTCCCACTGAATGAGCAGCAATGTAAATAACCCACGGGGCCAACTGTAAACTAAACACATTGGGGGAATTTATCAAAACTGAAGCAGACAAAATCTGGAGCAGATTTACACTGCAACCAATCAGCTTCAATACATTGTAAAGTGCTGACAGCTGGCACTGGTCAGAAGGAAGGAGATAGATTTGACTAATAGAGAGAAATCTCATTGTTTACTAGAGGAAGGTGCTGGAGAGTTCTGTACTGTAGTGCAGGGGTCCCCAAATCCTCGAGTCACGGATAAATCCCCCCACCAGCTTCCACGAAACTGGTCCCTGGTGCCAAAAAGGTTGGGAACCGCTGATCTAAGGTACTGCTGCCTCTGACTGCTAGTCTCAGATTTGTTTAGGTCACTACTGTGCTGCTCACTGTTCTCCTTGATGGAGCTGCTGACTTGAGGAGGCAAAGCCCTGCCTCTACCAAGATGGCCACCTCCACAGAGAGAGATGGTAAGAAAACAAGGCATGTCATGTCAATAAATTCAGGTAAGATTAGCTGCTCGGAGACCACAAGGAATATTGCTGACTAGCCCTTTGCCCTCTGCTTGCCTTCTCTTGCGCACAGCCTCCGGAGTTCAGTCCCCCTAAGTTGCACAGACATTGGAAGATATATACATTTACATTAATGGTATTTATGAAGTAAAAAAATCTGCAACCATCATCTAAAGTCCTGTATACAATTAGACTTTCTGATAAAACCCAGACATGCACTGAGGTATGGACACCATGGCATTGAGCGCTATATTGTTGGGAGGCAGACGAGGAGTCATGTGTTCCTCTATTTCCAGAAGTAACAGGTATTGTGACAGGGGCTTGCAGATCCGAGCAGGATAGTAAAAAGGCAAGACCTGCTTAAAGTAGCCTCTAAAATAAAGCCGTTAATATGCCTGGACAAACTTTAATAATTAAAGGGGAATTATGGGTGAGAGAGAAATGCACTTATACCTAGGGCTTGAAAAATCCGCTCGTCTGATGAGAGGACGCCGGAGCCAGACGAGTAGCTTTCCGGCCGGGAGCTTTACATTCATTACTCTCAAGAGACGTCCGATCACTTGTATTCGGTGCGGATTTATCCCCTCAATTTTAAGGCTCGACATGTTTGGTGTCTATTTACCTGAAGTATATGATAAATGTCACCAGCACACCTATGTCTGGTGTCAATAATCCATCTTCATTATTGATGCAGACATAGGTGTGCTGGTGACATTTATCATATATTTGAAGATGCACGGCGCCATCTGTGGTTACTACAGCACCCTCCTTTACCCGATTTACCTGAAGTGACCCCGTCTTTTATATTTTACCAAAAATATTGGTGATACATTTTTTTATAACATAACTTAGGGAAAACAATTATTTTTTTCTTCAGAATTTAGGGTACTTTTTTCAGATTATGGTAAAAAATAAATACCCCCCAATGATGATTAAATACCATCAAAAGAAAGCTCTATGTGTCCCCAAATTTTTTTAACATCAATTGCAATGCTATAGTCCGGTCATGCTGACTAGTGAGACACCCTAAACATTTTCAAGCCCTGCTCATACCCATAATTAGAGTTGACGTGCGACACTGAAGCTGTCACACATTGGCTCTATTGATTGAGAACTGAAGAATCACATACCGCCAATCGTTCAGTTCCAGTTCTGCAGAGAGCGATGACCGTCAGTAACAATATTGTCGGGATTCATCCCAGCGTGGCTCTGTGCTGTCAGCATACAGTGGGAGATAGCCCGCCATATGCTGAGTTGTGGTTCAGAGGAGGACAAATATATGTCCTCCTGTGACCCTAAAGTGAACTATGGCAAAAAAAAAAAAAAAAAGGTTGGGCCATAGTTCTTTTAAATAAACCAGCACTTTAATTTTCTATATCTGCAAAGGTAAAGATGCTAATATGTACTCCAGGCCCAGACATTTGAAAAAATACTCTGCTACCCAGCACATCCACTATATCGATGTGACTGACAGCCAACATACATCAGAATAAAGTAAGCTTCAACAGCATCATGGGATCCAAGCTTTTCTTTCACCACATTCAGACCTACTAAGATGTGACGGGACCACATGCAGCAGCCAAAATTCACATCCCTACATATATGAATGACAATTGCAAGCTGTAAATTCTTAAAATAAAAAAGCAGATATTTTAGACCCTTTTTTCAGATAAAAAATATATGATTTTCCTACTTTGCTAAAAGTGAAACCCTGATTGGTAGCTACAAATTTGTATATATTGATGCTCATTGTATCTATAATGTAAAATAGGCCCTTTGGGTGGACTTTATGGAGGTAGGCAGATATGGAGGCTCCCCAAACTAAAATGGAAAATGTATACTGGGTAACAGGAGGACAACATAAAATCCATGTATTCTCTATTTGTAACCTGCACTGTTTGCTGAAGCAAAGCCTAAACAGCTCTGCAAGAGAAAAATCTGGCGGCGGACTTTGCCTTATATACAGTAGATAATTATAACACTCTGGAGAAACAGATAAAGGAACAGACAACACATAAAAGTAGTGGTGTTAAGTAATGAATGACAGTTTTAACTGAGTGTTAGTTAAGTCTTAATGAGATTTATAAAGTGTCTTACACCTTTTTATACATGTGGATAGAGATTAAATGTTAACATTCTTTTGTTCCCGCTGCCTTTTCACACATAGCGTCGGCTGCTTGAAAAACTTTATACAAGCAGTGTGCCACTTACTTTAACATAAACTTCAGCCTAAAACTTTACAGAAGTGACAGATGTCACAGATTAAAATGCCAACAAAATATCTTAGCAGCTGAAGCTGGAGGAAGAAAAAAAGAAAATCTGAACATAAAATAGCCACAAAAGAAAAAAAAACAGCCAAAAAATACAGAAAAAAAAAAAAAAGACTGATTAAAAAAACACTTCAATTGCGCTGCGCATGTGCCTAGAGCATCTAGAATTTCCCTTGTTTTGTTTTTAATAATCTGTCGCTCGACCACATAAAAACTTTTACACAGAGAAAATCACTGTCCTCCAAGAAAAAAATAAAATCCTGACCACCTGGATGATCCACAGCACTACTGGAACACCATTCAGAGAATAAAGGAAATTATGCAAAACATTTTGGTACATGGGATTACATTTAAAGAAAACGAAAACACTGTATACAAACGCTTGACACCTCATCCTAACTGTTAGAGGTGTGTGTGTGTGCGTGCGTGCGTGTGCTTCTGGCAATCTACAATCATAATTTGCAGGCTTTTTTTTTCTTTGCATACCTTGCATACGTTGTATTGCTTTTTCTTCCCATTCTTCTCACAGTGGCCATTTTTCCTGGATTAATCCATCTCCCTTTACTTCCTGGAACTCTGGCACAGGTGACTAGGACATTTCATCTGAGGAAAGGAAAATACCTTTCCCTGAGATATTGTGAGATTACAGTTGAGATTTCCCAGCAATGCTCTGCTGATTCAATCTTTCCAGGATGCAACGCTTGAGCACAGCTTACATCACGTGTG